CTTGATTTTATAAACACCTGCGGCAATGGGACTGAAAATACTTGAATGCAGAGATTAAGTGATTGTGTGGCCCAATACTTTTCTCTGTTTAGTGTTAAGTTAGCCAATCACCTGCCAAGTTTTTTACAATTAAACTGTAAATGAATTGGTGCTTATAAACTCTTAACTCCACATTCAATTCACTTTTTACTGAAAGCTTCATTCACTCAATCATACTCACATTGAACCACCAACCTTCCAACTAGATGACTCATGCTACCTCCTGAGCTACAGCTGCCGATTGTTTAATTGCACAACCTAATAGATAGTTTGAGCATTACTAGAAACATTCGGGGCCATGTCCTTGAATGATGACACCACAGAGGAGTTTAAATCAAATCACTAAGATGTGGCTGAAGTGCAAGTTTTCAGCTTAAATTCAAAGGTTTTAACAAAAGTGTTTCATTAAAAGTTTAGGATTTGCACTTATTTTTAGAGGCTGGATGGAACCAGGCTTATCTGATCTGGCATTTTGAAAATACACTGTGAGAGCAGATATCTATAGATTTCCCCAGAAACTGCTTCTTAGTCAAAGGGTGCTTTCCAAAAGTACCTCCTATCTCCTTTGCCTCTTTTCCTCAAGGAAAACGTCATTGTACTTAATCAAGGGCAAAAGGGTGGGTAGGAGAACTGATAAGGAGTTTAAAAAAGAGAAGAGCGGTGTGCTGAGAATTCGAACATACACTAGTCTCCTAACAATGTAATGCCAGATATCTGCTGTGTTGTAACTACAATGATCAGAAGATGGACTAAAAAAATACACACGTTACTTTGCCATGTGTAAACCCTGCTGTTTTATGTAGGCCATATAAATGAGAACAGCCTGTGAAAAATCTCTCTTCAGTACAAAGGTTGGAATTTTAAAGAAAAGGGAACATTAAGGTTGGAAATACTAACGCCTTAGACATTAAAAAACTGTTGGATTTTCTAAAACGGCAGCTAATTAGTCCTTAGTGTGTTAAATTAATGCGTGAATGCTGCAATACGCTATTAAAAATAAGAAGCGATGCACACTTTTACACATTTTCAGTTTGTAATTATGCAGGATTCTTCTGGATAAGTCTTGCTCTGCACCGGAGTCCTAACGCTCAGCAATTTCTATGAAAGAGTTATTTCTTATATCAAAAGAATATTGATTTCAGCGTCCTCTCATTTATCTGAACCGCCTCACTGTTTTCAAAGAGAAACACGCATATCCATCCATCACTTATCCCAGCTCACCTGAAGTATACATTGATTTATGATAATCCTAACAGCAATTGCAAACGCAAACTAATTATAGAGAACCCTAAACACACTTTGATCAGTTAATATATCTCATAATCTTTAGAGAGCTTATATACATCTGATTTTCATGCAAGGCAACAACTGAACAAGTGGGTTTTATTACAGCAGTGGGATGTTCAGAGTTCAGCTCTGCGTTCAACAGGCTGTTGTTTAAAAACCAAATATATCAGCAGGTCATAAAAATACATTTATGAATGAATGAATGAACATTTACATGATCTGCATCACTT